GTTTGATTTAGCCATGTTTGGAAATCCCTTAGGTTGCAGTCACAATTAAATCCATTGCCCAGCAGGCTGAGGTAGCTGAGGGTGCTGAAGAGGTTTGGATCCACTGAATAAACAGAGTTGTATTCAAGATTAAGATATTGTAAACTTTTAGGGAAAATACCATTAGGAAGGTACTTCAAAGAATTGGAGGACAAATCCAAAAAGATCAAAGAGGTGAGGTCTTTGAAAATGTCTTTGGGAAGCGACTGAAGTCTGTTGGAACTAAGAAAAAGCGCTTCTAACTGGTGAAGATCGTCAAATAGGTTTAAACATGTTCCTTCTGACCAGATAACTTCCAGACCTGCAATCGCAAGATCAAGGATTTGTATTTTTTGTGAAAGCACTTTATGCTCGTCATCAGGGCAATAAACAAGTTCATTACCTCGAAAAACTATTTCCTCGATTTGAGGAAACTTCTCTAGTATCGTGTAGAACTCTGACGTGGAAGATATTTTGTTAAATTGCAGGTAAAGGGTTTTGAGGTTTGTGGCAATGTTGAGTAAATTGGACGCATGTGTAATTTTGTTGTCACCCAAGTAGAGCTTCTCCAGGCTTGGTAGGCTTGCAAATGTATGTGCATATTTGAGCGAATTTCCTGTTAAATTTAAGTTGAGTAGATTTGGAAGTCCTTGAAATGACTGATGTCCAAGCGTCCATATATGATTATATGACAAATCAAGCACCTCAAGTTTCTCTAGATTCTGAAAAGTTTCAGAATTAATAATACCCAGGACGTTTTTGGACAGGTTTAGCTGTAGTAAATTTGTCATACCCCAAAATGCATTGTTTTCAATCTTGTTGATCTGACTTTGTGCCAGTGTAATTTGTTCTAGATCTGGCAAATAACTAAATACTGAATATGACAGAGAAAAAATATTTGAACTGGACAGATCGAAAGTCTTAACACCACTCGCCTCAAGACCCTTGAATGTGAATTTGTCTGGATCTTTTGAATTATTACCAGAAGATCTGCCCAGGCTGCAAATATTACTGAAAATTAGACTTTGGATTTTGGTACCACTGACTGCATTCAAAAATCGCTTTGCAATGTTAACATTAAAGCCGTTTCCAGATAGGTCCAATACAGTTACGGACATGTTC